CATGTCTGCCTCCGCCGTCCGGTAGAACGTAACCGACAGCTAACAACACCAGCTAGGGATACTGTCGATACACGCTCAATTGTTAAGCATACTATAATGTGCATATACAACAGGTTTTTTTTACATATATATATAGTCTTATGTATTCGTGTAATAACGTGTTGGTCATGAGTCGCACGTGACGGAACCTAACGACCCCTTGCGACATCACAGTTGAATGGTGTTTTTTTTTTTTATAAATAACTGCAACATATATTGACCTTTCCACTACAAGTCCCTATTAACACAACGGGATCAGTGTCATTTAAATGGTCCTTCTTCTGCTCCACATAACATGAGACCATCGTAAGACGCAAGCATTTAAATGGTCCTTCTTCTGCTCCGCATAACATGGAGATCATCGTAAGACGCAAGCATTTAAATGGTCCTTCTTCTGCTCCACATAACATGGGACCATCGTGAGACGCAAGCATTTAAATGGTCCTTCTTCTGCTCCACATAACATGAGACCATCTTAAGACGCAAGCATTTAAATAGTCCTTCTTCTGCTCCACATAACATTGAGACCATCGTAAGACGCAAGCATTTAAATAGTCCTTCTTCTGCTCCGCATAACATGAGACCATCGTAAGACGCAAGCATTTAAATGACGTTAGGGTGTTCTAACTGATGATGCTGACACGTTAAAATCGAAACACCTGAACATATATGTATAAAGAATATAAATATAGGTATTTAACGCACATCGGTTACTTCCATAGTTAACATGAAGGTCCAACAAACTTCATATAACATAGATGCAACGTTCAAACAAGCATGGTTGTTTAAAGGACTCCATTAAATCTCTCTCTCTATGTTATACAATTAATATTATGATATATAATGTTGTGTACATTGGGTTACGCTCAGTCATCATTCGCTGGATATCATCTTTGTCCATATATTCACTTCTCATATTTGACTCTTTAAATTTGAAATCGGCTTCGAAATTTAGACAAGTACTTGAATATTACATTGATCACTTTTTATCCAGTAAATGTTAGAGAGGCTATTTGTACCTGTAGTAACAAAAAACTGAAGCTGACAATACTTGAAGGCGACAATCCGTTTAAGCCAATACCTATTTGAGATTGACATTTTTTTTTTAAAGTGAACCATTCAGTCAATGTTTAGAGGGTAACGATAAATACACGTATACCAAGAAAGAATACCAGTTCCAGCTACACGAGCACTTTGCCAAGCTTGCAAATTAAAAAATGGCGTCATCACCGGCACAAGAACGAGCTTCCATGATAAGACGATAGACAAATGATTGAATTCACCACCAACCTGTCCCAGCGGCAATACGGAGTGTCAGTATGACCTGATGCAGGGGCGGCGGCAGGGTGGAGGAGGCAGGGCCATGGGAGGTAGTTAACCCGTCACACAAAATGTGATTGGACAGGTTCCATTAACATAGGACAACTATAGCTGAATAAGGCAGATATACAACTCTCATGGGAGACAGTCGCAGTACCCAAGACGTAACATTCCATACATTATCCAATTTCCATAGACAGAAGGCATAAATCTTCATTGAGTTCCGTTATCCCACGAGTATCGTAAAAACGTCGTATGACTACTGTGGGGTTTTAGCCCCGTGAACTCCACGTATACAGTTTAATGGACAGACAAAACGAACAATTGTCGTCCGCATCTTAAGTTGACCGATGCGGAAAGGGTTCGTTCTGATTGATTATAGCAGTAATTGGGCAAAGGGTCGTCCGTACCAATTCTGGGGTAATGGGGACAAGGGTCGTCCGTTCCAATACTGGGGTAATGGGGAAAAGGATCGTCCGTACCAATACTGGGGTAGTCGGGACAAGGACCGACGAACCAATACTCAGGTAATGGGGACAAGGATCATCCGTACCAATACTTGGGTAACGGGGTCAAGGGTCGTCCGTACTATTTCTGGAGTAATGGGGCCAATAATCGTCCGTACCAGTACTGGGGAAATGGGGTCAAATATCGTCCGTACCAGTACTGGAACAACGGGGTCAAGGGCGGTCCGTACCAGAACTGGGAAATTGAGGACAAGGATCGTCCGTACGAATACTTTGGTAATGGGGACAAGGATCGTCCGTACCAATACTTGGGTAATGGGGTCAATGTTCGTCCGAACCAATACTTGAATAACAGGGTCAAGGGTCGTCCGTATTATTTCTGGAGTTATGAGGACAATAATCGTCCGTACCAGTACTGGAGCAACAGGGTCAAGGGCGGCCCGTACCAGAACTGGGGAATTGGGGACAAGGATCGTCCGTACCAATACTAGGGTAATGGGATAAGGATCGTCCATACCAATACTTGGGTAATGCGGACAAGGTTCGTCCGTATCAGTACTAGTGTAATGGGGACAAGGATCGACTGTACAAATACTGGGGTAACGGGTTCAAGGGTCGTCCGTTCTAAAATAATGGGGTAATAGGGAAAAGAATAGTCCGAACGATTACTAGGGTAATGGGACAAGGATCGTTTGTACCAGTACTGGGGTAATGGGGACAGGGATCGTCCGTAGCAATACTTAGGTAACGGGGTCAAGGGTCGTCCGTACTTTTTCTGGAGTAATGGGGACAATGATCGTCCGTACCAGTACTGGAGCAACAGGGTCAAGGGCGGTCCGTACCAGAACTTGGGAAATGGGGACAAGGATAGTCCGTACCAGTACTGGGGTAATGGGGACAAGGATCGTCCGTACCAATACTGGGGTAGTCGGGACAAGGACCGACTTACCAATACTAGGGTAAGGGGACAAGGATCGTCCATACCAATACTTGGGTAATGGGGACAAGGATCGTCCGTACCAGTACTGGGGTAATGGGGGCGAGGATCGTCCGTACCAATACTGGGGAAGTCGGGACAAGGACCGACGTACCAATACTAAGGTAATGGGGACAAGGATCATCCGTACCAATACTTGGGTAACGGGGTCAAGGGTCGTCCGTACTTTTTCTGGAGTAATGGGGACAATAATCGTCCGTACCAGTACTGGGGTAATGGGGACGAGGATCGTCCGTACCAATACTGGGGTAGTCGGGACAAGGACCGACGTACCAATACTAAGGTAATGGGGACAAGGATCATCCGTACCAATACTTGGGTAACGGGGTCAAGGGTCGTCCGTACTTTTTCTAGAGTAATGGGGACAATAATCGTCCGTACCAGTACTGGGGAAATGGGGACAAGGATCGTCCGTACTAATACTGGTTTAATTGGGACAAGGATCGTCCGTACCAATACCGGGGTAATGGGGACAAGGATCGTCCGTACCAATACTGGGGTAATGATCGTACGTACCAATACTGGGGTAATGGGGACAAGGATCGTCCGTACCAGTACTGGGGTAATGGGGACGAGGATCGTCCGTACCAATACTGGGACAAGGGTCGTCCGTACCAATACTGGGGTAGATGGGACAAGTGTCGTCCGTACCAATACTGGGGTAATGATCGTCCGTACCAATACTGGGACAAGGGTCGTACGTACCAATACTGGGGTAATGATCGTCCGTACCAATACTGGGACAAGGGTCGTCCGTACCAATACTGGGGTAATGGGGACAAGGGTCGTCCGTACCAATACTGGGGTAAAGGGGACAAGGGACGTCCGGACCAATACTGGGGTATTTGTATTTGGGACAAGGATCGTCCGTACCAATACTGGGGTAACGGGGTCAAGAGTCGTCCGTACCAATACTGGGTTAATGGGGACAAGGATCGTCCGTACCAATACTAAGGTAATTTGGACAAGGATAGTCCGTACCAGTACTGGGGTAATGGGTCAATGATCGCCAATATTGATAGTCGTTTGTATCGACTGTGTGATTATGTGGACTTTCTTATCGTTGGTTGGTCAGTTTTGACTAAAAGACTATAATCGATGTGGGAGAGGAATGCGTCGCACGGTAATTATTAAATCGATTGAATATCACTTACCAATATTAATACGTAAAACATATTATTTGTCTCTAATCATTTCTACATCTTTATTTAAACATCAAGAGAAGCCAGCAATTTTATATTTATGACTTTCCGAAATATGACATTATCACGAAGAAGAAGGGTCGTATGGACAAGGAGGCAATGCGTACAATAGTCGTCTGTATTGATGTCATTGTCTGGATTCATTTAGTTTCACTGCCGCTGCAGTTGGTGTTGAGAGTGACTTCCTTACAATCCATGATGTAAGAGTAAATCTATGTATATATAATGCCATACACAAATGTTCGCGCCATCATTCCCAAAAATAACACCTATTTAGAGAGACCATTGTAGAATTTGCAGGCGTCATTCTCGCAAGTCCTTTTGTTTTAAGTGGCTTCGACCATGGTCAATTCTCGGCTCATGACTAAAAATCCTTGAGGTTGTGAACGCTGTCCTCGCTCCCCTGGGTCGCGCGAGTGACTCTTGTGAACGGTAGTCTCGCCATCCCCGCGGGTCGTAACAGTGACTCCTGTGAACGCTAGCCTCACTACTTCAGACTCTTCGTTTCCGCGCACCTTGGTGACGAGGACAATATATGCGAGCTGTTGTCCGGTCGTAATTATCAGATGTAATTAAGGGATCAGTTGAACTAAGTAGGTAATTTGTAATCGTCAGATAGAACAATTAACGGTAACATGTTTCAGAGGCTGGTACTGCGTGGCAGACCTCTAAGATGTGTCATAGTATGTAAATACATGTGTCAATAACATCGGTGGTGTTCGTTCGTAGTAGAGGAGACTGAGGCAAGTTCGGCCCCGTTTTTGGTCACGTCATTCTGGGCGGTATGGCATTTGCTGAACACAACTGAACTGATAAGATCCCCAAGGTTGTAAATATTTGCTCAAGACCAAAAATATCAGGGTTGGTCGAACTTTCCCCGGGTCCGAGCTTGCTCCGGTCTCCGCTATGTGTTATTTACACGTATTCCTTCCCTTCAGGCAATGGCGTTTAGTATCAAAACGTAACAAAAAACAAAAACCATGAACGTCAAAAATGATATAAGAAAATGTGTGATTATAATGATAATGGGCGTATCAACGGTCTTTTAATTGCCCATCTTCCTCCTTACCTCTTGAACCCCTCCTCGATTAAAATGTAGAAAGGAGTACAGTGAGTGACTGGTCTGGAATATACATTAATACATGTATTTAGATCTGATCGATCGTGTGACCAGGCTGATAACAATGCTATAGGTTGCATGCATACCTGACAGAGGCAGCAGGGACGACTGTGGCATTCTCGACGAGTATGTTGGACGACTTGTGTTCCGAGACAATTTGTTCGTAGGTTGACGACTTCCGGCGTTGTCGGTAGCACCTCCTCCACGTGATGTACATTATAACTGACAACACGAAGGCACTGCACACGGCCCCAACAATGACAACTGTCAACGGCACTGCAAACACAAATCACCAATGGGTAAGTAATGATAAAAAAGTTATTGGAAAAGGTTGTGATCGTAATAACAGCTAAAAATTTTCAATTTAAATACTATCTGACAACAGCACAAACTCTACAAGAAACAATGGCGGAAATATCTGCCGTAAAAAGAGGTGTTCCAAAAGATAAGTCATGTCACGTGATTTGGGAATTCATAGGTCATATCATATCTAATGTAGAGTTGTTTTCCTTCGATATTCTTTATTTTCTCCGACATATTTACTTCTAATACAATACCTGACAGGGGTGAGAAGCCAGTGCAGCAATCCCTGTTACACAACATGTCCGGACGAGGGGACCTTCGATTCACACCTCACACAGAAAATATGCACACAGAAGGCAGCTAAGCAATTAGCTTAATTTCGTAATACAAGCAACTAAGTTTTTAATTAATCATTATTGTAGTGTGCTTTAGATCCTGTGCGTATACCTTGGGTGTGTCTCGATGCAGGCTACATGTAATTATTGACTGGCGATTGGTCAGTTGGCTTTAGGGATTGCGTCCCCTTCTTCATTCAGCAGCTATTTTGAAATGCATATATAGAAGCACTGCCTGTATGAACTTTTAAAACATACATTTCTTTTACATATTTTTTAATCTAACACGAAATACTGCAATGCCTATGATGGAAATATTCTGCATATTAAACGTTTTTTTCTTTTCTTTTTGTCTTATACAATGTATCTGTATGTACCTGAATGGGTTGGGCTAGATGATAAAGTAAACAGGGAAATCCCGACCCACAAGACTCATGCGCCCTTTCCAGGATATATATATATATTTTTATTACAGTACATATATAAGTTGATCATACTATCCGAAAAGATTAAAAAGTGGTTCAAAACCGAAAATTGAAAATGAAGGTTTCTTTGACATTTTCGTTAGACAATGTAGTACTAAGGACATTGATAGCATACCGTTAAAGACAGAAACATTGTCTAAACGCCCTAATGACCTACTGACCCAGGCGCCATTATAGAAATTAGAAAGTTGCATGGAGCTTAACAACAAGCGACTGTGTTTATCATTATTAATTGTATCTAATTAGTGTTTGTTACACTGTAATTTTGCATTTGGAATATCTTCATTTGCACAATAAACGACTGCATAATAAGGTGTCAGATGAACAAACATGCGTGTTATTGCTTAATTACGTAACTTTCATTGTTCTTCATGTTCATATTTTATTAAAAATAAACTTCACTAATTATTATTCAATTTCCTCCCAGACACCTTGATCCAAACAACAATGGCGGACAAAAACACTTCGGGGATGGAAACTTTTCATCACGATAGCACGGCGTAAAATGACCATAAAAAGGTCGGAACCTTTGTTTTGTTTCAAATGGATTATTCAATCAGGAGTTACGGGACAAAAGATGAATACCAGCCAAAACGGAGTTCTAGCTACGGGGATAATATAATACATGTATCTTGTGTTTTCACAGTATGAAATACGGAACCTTGTATTGCACTTACTGTATGACTTTATAGCAAGATTCAAAAGTTATGTAATAAAATGCTATGTAGAGATATCCACAGCAGGTCAGGTTGATGTACTGGATCATACATCGGTTAGGGAGTGCACATGATACATTAGCTTTTGGTGATACCATGTCCGATATGATATGTATAGAGAGCAAGTCAAATAAAAGCAATGTCTGGAAAGATAACAGACTTATTATGAAAGGGATCGCGAAAAAGGATCACGCATATAACCAGCACTTATTGACTGTTGTTGAGGTGAATAAAAGAGACTATTACATGTAATCTGTTGTTTCTAAATATAGTGAAATCAAGTTAATATCACAAATGAATAACCTCCATGTGATCACGATCTAGCCAATGAGGATGGAGGACAAATGTGTGTCATCTAATATATTTCAATTAAGGGCTCTTTTGATGACGAATATGATGTGTAAACGTTAAGGACGTCTGGACGGAGATACCGCAACGAACCCGGGAAGGGTTCCTCCTGAGCTATATCGAGTATCGTTAAAGAAATCTGGACGGAGATACCGCAACGAACCCGGGAAGGGTTCCTCCTGAGCTATACCGAGTATCGTTAAGGACGTCTGGACGGAGATACCACAACGAACCCGGGAAGGGTTCCTCCTGAGCTATATCGAGTATCGTTAAAGAAATCTGGACGGAGATGCCGCAACGAACCCGGGAAGGGTTCCTCCTGAGCTATATCGAGTATCGTTAAGGAAGTCTGGACGGAGATACCGCAACGAACCCGGGAAGGCTTCCTCCTGAGCTATATCGAGTATCGTTAAGGACTTCTGGACGGAGATACCGCAACGAACCCGGGAAGGGTTCCTCCTGAGCTATATCGAGTATCGTAAGGACGTCATCAATGTGGTCTGTTTTGCAATCTTTCAGTAATTAACCATAGGATGATCACAACAAGCACTCAGTGACCAGCATCATAAAGATTATCATTGTCCCATTTACACCGTTAGTTTAGAGCAGCCCCAGCATGACTGTTAACTCAATATAGGAGATACACATCAACACTCGGTACTACTTCGTGATTCATATTGCAGTAGTTAAATGGCTGTATTTCGTAGCCCCAAAAAGTTCGTGTTTTGATTACCAAGAGAATGCTTTTTTTCAAGCCAGATAACATTTAAGACTATGCCATTTTATCAATATATCAAAATGAAATCTGTTTGACCAGAGTTAAAAATAAATTTCTGAATTAGTCAATTGATTAAATAGACAAGGAAAACGTATGCTTAGTCAAGCTACATGTAATGAGAACTATAAATGTGTTCAAGATGTAATATGATATATTCCGCGTTATATTTATCTGTGTGGGTCATGTAATTAGTGTATAATTGACGACACAATATTGTATTGTGCTGAGTCAATATAATGGCTTATTCTTTAAAAAATAACACATTTTTTGTCGTAACGGCCAACAGTTTCTTTTTTTCTGTATTGAATCATTTTCCTTTAAAATCCTTTTTGAATACTTTTTTTGCATGACATTGAATTCCTAATGATTGCAGATTATCTTTAACCGACCAGACAGTCAGGGCTACATACATGTACAATCGTCGTTCCACCGAAAAAAACTCAAAATGATCACGGATAGAAAAGTTGGATGTGAACGTCATACTGTATCATACGGTCTGATGGCGTTATCATTAAATGGTTAAAACAATCTACGTCAAATATAATGATGTCTTATCTAACTGAAACCAGACGATTTCCAGACAAAGGAACATTTGATTGAAATCATTTAAACAGTGAAAATCAAAATTAAGTGGCTGACGTCAACTCCGTAGAAACGAAATATCTAGGTACGTATACACGGCACCGACCTTGATCGGTGCCAATGCTCGGCTTCCTTTCCTTGATAACAGGAAACACCAACCAACACTTGATACAAATGTGCATTTTATGTTTGGAATGATCAAAATCAGTTAGGGGAAAACGTTCATTGTATTGAAATGTCTGGGTGGACTTGAGATGCAGACAGTTCACTCGCCGACATGTCCATTGTCTGACACTGGCGATGATACATTTTTACATGTTTAATTTTCACGTTGACCGACCGTGTCCCTGTCGCCGAGTATATCTACTAACAGGGGAAATAGCAGAAACAAACAATCACAAGATTGCGCTATGTTGGGATTTAAAAGGAGACTGGGTATTTACGGAATGTTTGACATCTGACGGAGTTGCTTTCAGATTTGTAAATGACAACTTCACATACTGAATGGAAAGCTTTCAAAGCACTGACACGCTTCGTTCTACATCTGTTTGATTGCGCTTGAGGAGGCAGCGACTAAATCTCTTAGATTTGGCCTTTTTTTCTTTGCCTTTGGTATCTTGTGCCGACAAATCGATTCAGACGACATGAAGACGTTACATAATACAGCATTCTGTTCTACCCGTGGAGATGTATATAGCGAGGACAGAGACAAGCGGTCTCGGTACCACGAGGCCAGACCTTTGGTGCCGGCTGTCGTCTTTCATCCCACGGCTTTACAAAGCGTGTTGGCATTGATATAATGGATAAACACAATAGACACGTCTCTCCCATCATGATCGTCTACATGCTATCATCATGCCCATTTCAATTACGGAGATTTGTTAAATAAGTGCAGTGCATGTTCAATTGTTCAGCGTGGTCGGGTCAATAATCGTAGTCGTCTTGCATGTAAAAATGTATTCTTGCTCATACTGCAAATAATTTGTCACCATGAACACCATGAATTATCGAGGAAGATTTCCTAACGTTTGAAATGCATATCATGCGTTTACGTGGCAGTTGGATGACTTATGGGAGCGTTCCTGCCATTACGACCATTAGAGTAATTTGTTTTGATGAATTTATGTCCACTTATTTGTCATTAGCGTGGTTTCCCCACTCGAGAAAACGTTATAATTTACACGACATGGAGGCAATAGAAGAAATAGTGACTATCAAATGTACATTAAATCAATTTATGTTTCTTAGCAATGTTGGCCTACAATATTTATTAAAGTTACGTAGCAATATATGAGGTATAATGTCAATATATGTATTGTAATCATCTTTGTCACTCTTATCACTCTTACATTGTATGGGTGTAGTTGTCATCTATGTCACTGTTATGTGTGTAGTTGTCATCTATGTCACTGCTATATATGTGGTAGTCATCTATGTCATTGTTATGAGTGTGGTACTATGTCACTGTTATGTGTGTAGTTGTCGTTTTTGTCACTGGTATGTGTATAGTTGTCGTCATTTTCACTGTGACGTGTTAAGTTGTCATCTATGTCATCGTTATGTGTGTACTTGCCATCTTTGTCACTGTTACTGTACATGTCTGGTTGTCATCTATGTCACTGTATTATTCCTTTACCATGTTCATGCAATGTCTGACTCTTTAAAAAACTGTTTAACAAACATACATATGCAAAGAATGTATTCCAGACAGTGGAATCTACGTAGATAG